TCGATCGTAGCAAAGTTCTTACGACAAGATTGTTACGAAGCATTGGCAACTTTTCCCAATATTGGATTTTGGCAAATTTTCAGAGATACGGATTGTCACTTCATCGTGGCAACATTTCCAAGGATGGATTGTTACGAAGCATTGACAACTTTCCCTAAATCGGATTGTCATACATCATACAAGAGTTGTGTTGGCAACTATTCCCAAAGAAAAGAGGATTGTCATCACCCAAAGCATCAACAGCAAAGTTCAAGTAGCATTAAGGATCAACAAGCAGTGGTCTTTCGAAGACTATCACAGCGGAAATTGCAAGCAGTTACAAGCGTAGCAGTCTTCAGGCGGTATTCTCTAGCTTGCGGAAGATCTTCAAAACAAACATCATGATGGAGTTCCTTAGCTTGTGGAAGGTTGTCACAGTAGCAAATGCAACAATCCGGTTACTCTCGAAGACGTGTTCTCAACGGTGCAAGATACGCGTTTCTTAACTCTCTTATCTGTTTTAACTAACGCTAGTTTGCAGGTATCGACATTACAAGAATGATTTAGGATCGCAGAATATTCTGAATCAATCTTTGTCCCTGTCGATACTTTGACTTTTGTTTTCGAAACTAGCGTTTCTCCAAACTCAGTCAAAGTGGGGGCTTTTGTAGACACCCATTTGTGTTTCCCCAAAACCAAACCCAGTTATGAATACCTTTCACGTCGAATCATAATCGAATGAAGTGAATGTGTGGAAAGTCTAGTGTTGCGGTTAGTTTTTAATTCTTTTCTTTCTCTCTGTTTTTGAAAATCTATTTTAAGAAAACGGCCATTCCGGTTTGGTTTGGTCCATTTCAAGGGCCCAATAATGGTGAAGTTGGTTTGGGTTCGAAAAGAGCTTTCCAACGATATGTTAAAACCCAATTCCAATGAATAATGAGGAAGTTATGGCTAAATTACTGAACTGGGCCTAGTTTGATTCTTATATGCGGCCCAATGATCTAGAGGAGGACCTATTATTGATTTATCATTCCTAATGCAATTAATATTAATTATAGTCTTCTAGAATTTTCTAGAAGGTTCTTTTGAATCCTAATTTGATTAGCATTGATAAATTGACATTTAAGAGTTTTATTTATAATAAAAGAAGTGTTTTTAAGGAAATTAAAGTTTTACCCTCTTATACACTTAAATTTTATCAAAATAAGAAAACGCGTGGAAAACTGATTGCAGCGCCGTACGATACGTCTGTCGCCTGGCAACACACCTGGCGTCTGGCAACAGGCGCGTTTTTTTGGGGACAGCGTCGTGTTTTATTTTTTTCAAAACTTTGATTCGTTTTTTATCGTATCCGACTAATTTTCTCTATAAATAACCTCCTAAAACCTTCGTTTTCAATCATCAATTCTCATCAATTCTTCCCATCAATTCTCTATCTAATTATCACCAACTCTCATCAAGAAAATTTTTATATTCTCTCTCTCTCTCTTATTCTAAACTAGCTTTTCTCATACAAAATTCTTCATTCACAAGATCTAGACACACCTAGCCAAGTTCGAAGTTGCCTTTGCCCTAGACGTGAAAGGTTTAATTTCTGAGGGTTTGGTCCCAAATATCTCTTTCAGTAATTTAATTTAATTGTTTGTTTTATATTTTCCTTGAAGTTACTAACGCGTGTATTTTGTTATTAGAAAGAGATATGAGGCATCCAAGTAAGTGCTTTAATTTGTTTTTATTGATATTATGGTATAGAAATCATGTCTAGGTTGTTATTTTGATTCCTAGTATCATGTTAGGATGTTTGCCTTAATTTGATGTTTTGAACGACAACAATGATTCCTAGTATCATGTTTAGGGTAAAGGTTATAATATCAAATATGCTTATTATGATTCCTATGATGCCTTTTATTTTCTTTCCTAATATTCATGTTAGTATCATGTTAGGGCTGTATATTTGATCTTTGATGCTTAGTGACATGCTATGGTTTGTTATTAATCTTGTTAGTATCACGCCTAGGATCTTGCTAATATTATTATGCTTTAACATGATTATTTTGATTATAATTATTATAATTATTGATTATTATGATAATTATGTTTCTTGATATCTATTGTTATTGCTTGATCACACCTTTTATGCTTGTTTAAAGGGAATTGGTACTTGTAATCACACTTAATAAGATAATTAATAATCTTGATTAGGGTTAATATGATTATAATTCAAGTGATCACCAATAATATATTTATTTGTGCATTAATATTCAACCAACATAGATCAAACAGATTTAGGGTAATTATCTTTATTGCATGTTAGTCAAAAGCACACATGAATACGAGAAGAATAAAGTAGAGGCCTATTATTAGTGCAGGTTCAATCTCTTTTAGGTTGGATTTGTACCTTCATCCCCAAATTTCCAGTCATGGTTCCAAACCTATTGGATTTGACGATCTCATGGATTGTTAAGGGTTGTAACCTTCACCCTGTGAACGGTTTACAAGTTCCTAAAACTTGTTGGTGACTCTTTTGCTCTAGCTTCCTTCACTTTGGACGCCACCATGCTTAAGTGTATGATCACAGTGGGGTTCAAGTTTGGGGTAGTGCTTGAAATATTCCCTACAATTGCTATTGTATTCATTTGAAATATTTATAAAATCAATCAAGCTTTTATTCTTTGAAAATTGCATAAATTGCACACCATCCCACCCCAAGGTTAGGTAGATGTGGATTGAAAAAAAGAAAGTTCTATCGTTAGATGAGGCTCATAGTGGTTTATTAAGAAATGATTGTATATTTGAACGGTGAAAAGGTGATATGATAGGCTACAAGGGGTGCCTCAAATCATTAGTATACCTTGTACTTAATTCAAACTGTTTTTTTTTTATGCAATGTAATGCGATAATCATATGCAATAAAAGAAATGCTCATTTTATTGAAGAGAGAAAGAAAAATCCTACAAAATAAAAACTAAGGAAAATAAAAAGGTACCTATGATAGACTTATGGGGAAATGATGAATAAAGAAAATAGAAAAAGAGGTCACAAAATCTTGTCGTTGAAGCTCACCTCTTGTCGTGTGCCTTATCATCACTCACTCTTCTTGCCAGATGGAGGTATGGGAATCTTGTTATTATCGATCAAATATTGGATGACCTCTTTTAGCTTCCAACAACAGTTTTATGTTCCTTACCTTGATGGTACTTGCAATGAGCGTCAACATTCCAGTTGGGTGACCTATTTTCGGGTGCTGAGTCCTTTGGCATGGAGTCGATCGAAAGCGGTATCGTAGTTTATCCCAATAGGGGTGAACTCTCTTTCCTTAGCTGTTTCTTAGGTCTCTGACTATCCATGGCTAAGACTTCATTGAGATCAAAGGTACTAACGTTGTTACTAGAGTGGGCGTTAACGGAAGAAGAAGGATTGTCGTTCTTCTTTCCTTTCCATCCACTATTATTGCTATTGTTAGTAGCTTTTTGCTGTGCAAGGTCATCTTCGATTTCAATACCTATTTCGTAGACGGCTTTGAAAGTATTCAAGTTGTGTTGATATTTCAAATGCTTCGAATACTTATCTTGAAGGTTCTTGATGAACATCCTGACATATTCCTTTTCAGTAGGGACCTCGACCATATTAGCGGAAGTTTCCCTCCACTTGTTAAAGAAAGAGGTGAACCCTTTGTTTTCCTTTTGCTTTAGCATCTCAAGTTGTCTATGGTCTATTTGAATTTGAATGTTTCAATTATATCTATCAATAAAAGCGTTTATTATTCCATCCCAAGTAGAGGTCTTCTCTTTATCAAGAGAAAAGAACCAATGTTGACAAACGGTTTCTAAAGATGGTGAGAACAAAGATTGAAAGATATTCCTTTCAATCCCCTTAATGTTCATTATAGTTTCAAAAGCCCTTAAGTGAAAACAAGGATTGTCAGTTGGCTTGAACTTAAGGTTGAGTCTAGTCACATATTCTATTCACATGGTCATGACACGAGTCAAACATGCCACTTACACTCATTAATCTTAGCACACACTTTGTATATGTCACCATGACCATGTCTTAGGTTCATGCATGCGTCGAACTTTTGTCATTTGAGTTGGGGGTCCACTTTATTCCTAAATTCTTCCATATATCTCCATCTATATCACTTTTTCACTCTCTACATGCTTTCTCCACACATATCATCGGTCATTCTTCCATGATCTCTTCTCATTTATTGCATGTTGAATAGAGCTTGAGTTAAAAATAAAAATTTACCCCCCAATTTCCCTTTTCATAGCACTTGGTCAAGGAGAGAAGGACATTTAATCAAGGATAACATTTTTGTCCAAGTACTACTTTTTGATAAACCGATCCAACAAAAGAGAAAAACTAAGGAGAAAATGGCATATTGGGAAGAAGTCAAATGAACTTAGGAGGCACGTGGCTAACATGACTGAAATGATGAAGGCTATGGATCTTCAAATCAATGACCCTGTGAAGCAACAACAAATGGAGCTCATGCAAGAAAGCTTGAGCAAACTTTCCAATGACTCTAGTTTCCACGGCATTAGCTAACAAGGGGCCTCAGTGGACAAGGAGCTTCTTTCGCAGAAGTTCAATGCCAATGACATGTAAGCTAAGACTTCACGTATATGCACTAAACAAGATAGATTGTAGTATTTTAGTCATAACTTTTGATCTATGAATCCGAATTGGACGAAACCAACGCCACATGAAACACTAGTACATAATTGTGTTTATGTAACACATATTGGTAAAACTTTTTGAAATTCAAATTATTATATTTATATGTAACACATTGGTAACACTTATTTAGAATATAAAACTCAATGTAACAGTTTTAACAAAAGTAACATTATAAAGTAATACTTTTAAAATAGGTAACATTTTATAGTAACACTAAGAGATGTTACCTTATTTCAATAACATTCCTAACCTATAGAAACCCCAACATGCCTATAAAGAAAACCCTTATTTATAGACTACAGTGTTTAAACTATTTTACCCCTATAAAATGTATAGTTACATCTTTTCTCATGCTTTCTATCTTCTAATTGATGAACTTGTCTCTTTTTCCTCTACCTTTTCACGGTTTTACCTCAAACTCTCGCTTTATCACTCCTACAAATTCAAGCCATGAAATTCGAAGGCTTGCAAGGAACCTTCTGATCGGTTCTTTATCTCCAATTTTAACAATGTAAGTTTTCTGTGATATTTGATTTTGCATTTTCAAAGTTTTCAATTAAGGGTTTATTTGTAGTGTCGATCAAAGGCAAAGGGGTAACATTTTAGGGTTTCTAAAGATTAAGTAATCTTAATTGTTTATTGATTAAATTTTTGTTATTCATTCTATTCTTGGGTAGTATAGGATGGTTTTGATGAAAATAGTTGTTGTAAATAGGCATTTGTTTGAGTTAATTAACATTCTAGCTTCAATTATGTTGCTGCAATTTTTTGCTGAATTTTCCACATTGATTTACTGAATTTTAATTCTGAAAATTTGAGTAGAATTGCTCAGATTTGTACGATTACTAGTCCTATATTATACTCCATATTAAGAATATATGATGCTCTGTACCTTTATAAAGGTTTTGTTCATTGAGCCTTGTGCTCTATTGCTATTGTTGAAACTGAATGCGTAATGATAAGAGTAATATATAGGAATTTGATAAACTTGAAGATAGGCATGTCAGAGCTAGAGGAATGTCCCAAAAATGGTCTGCTCTTGTGAGAGAAATTGCAAAAAGGACTAAATTTAGTATGATTAATAACTAATTGCTTTGATTTTTGTAGGATTTCTAGCATGATTTTTGCGCTTTATTAATCTTTTTATTTGGAAATGTAGTTAATTGATTATTGTTGTAGAACTTTGAGGTAAATAGCCATCCGTGGCAGGGGATTTCATGATTATTATTGCATTATTTTTCCATCTAATCCATATTTTATAATTAACTTCGATGTTTAATCATTGATATTTTTGAATTAATTTGCTATTGATTGATGGGAGATAATACAAGAAATTGGTTCAGATCGAGGTACTTTGATGATACTTATAAGAGTTATAAATGCAGATATGGAATTCTAATTTTAGTGATTGTTTTTGGGTTTTCTTCTGGATTTATAATCAACTTTGATGTTTAATTATTGATATTTTAAAATTAATTTCAAGTTTTCAGTAATCTATAGATTTTAAGGTCTAAATTTGCTATCATGTTTATCCTATTTCCAGCAGGAATTGGAGCTTCTTAGAGTTGATGCATAGAGGATACGATGGTAGATGCAGTTGCGGTGGTGTATTAATGTTCTTGACTCACTCGACCTTATTCCAGTTACATATATCCAACCAAAAAGAAGGAAAAAAAGAGTATGAGTTATTGATCATTTGATATCTTATTTATTTATTTCATTTTCAAAAATTTCTAGAAATGTCATGAATATTCATTTAGTCCTATACTTGCATATAAGCCTCGATGGATTATTGAGCTTGTCCTTGGTTGGTCATCTAAGCTACAATCCAAGTATATCCATATTTTTACTGAAATCCCAAAAGGGTAAACATCGTCTGTTTTTTTTTAATGTGCCTCTTGATAAACTATTCAAAAATTGTGTTTCTCCGGTTGCTTATTGTTGTCACACTTTACTAGGAAGAATTTCCTTAGGTCTATCATGTTATTATATGCTTTTTTGAGAAAGCGATGTCTCAAAAAAAAAAACTTGAAAAACATCAAAGATAATTCAGGGTCAAGCATTATTAAAATTTAACTATATCTTACTTGTGCCACTAGTAGAGAGCATTTCATCTTAAACTAGTAGAGTCGACTATATCTTGATTGTGCCACTAACATACCATGATCATATATATAAATTTTGGGGACATAAAGTTGGTTATAAATACTGAAATAATTTTGCATGAAAATTTAATTAAGGTGACTGATGAATTTGTATCAAATGAAAAGCATTAAACCGAAATATTTTGGGTCTAAGGCACTAACTTTTGATTTCTGAGCACTTATCTAGTGTTTTCTCTTAGTGGGAGTTCTCATTGTTTGTGACTTGTGATTTGGTGATTTTAGCTTGCTTTTCATAGAGCTACTGTATGATTGATTCTCCTTATCTTTTCCATCACCTATTATTATACAATACCTCCAAAAATGTTGAATCATTATTAAGCCCCTAATAATTCCTTGTTTATGAGTGACCAAGACTGGAAAAACAGAAACTAAAGACTAATCATGGTTAATAATGAATTGAGTACCTATTTCTGACGTTGAAGAAACTAATGACTTATCATAATTAATCTCCTTTCCTTCCATGTTCATATGTTTGTTGGTTTTCTTTTATTATGAATTATTACTCGTAGAATTTTATGCTTTCATTTTTGTTTTTATAGTTCTTTTTTAGGCAATTTTGTTTTTTACCACCTCACAAAAACACGAAAATCTCTTTTACCACCTCCCAAAAAAAAAGTATTACTTTACCACCTCATAAAAAACACGAAAATAGATTTTACCACCACTTAACTCGGGGCTGTAGATCTATAGGTTTTACAACTCGTAATTCATTCTAAAACTCCGGCTATGACCAAAACAATTTGACGTTTGTGCAGTATACATGAATAAAAATCCGGGTTGACTTAAAGGAACTATGACTCGATTTTAGACATATTTATTAGATCAAATTAATTAATCAATTAATTAAGCAAAGTCATTTAGTCCTTTGTTATTTTATTTAAGAATATTTGTAATTACAAGTCAAACCAAACGGTTAGTTTAATCACATGTAGGTTATGCAAGCGCAAGGAATGCACAAGTAGTCAAGTAAGCATAATATGATGCAATGAGTTTGCAACCTAACCATGGCTCTAGTTCTCTAAAGTTCAAGGATAAGGGCCAGTCAAAGAGGGTCCATGGTTATGAGTCCGGATGCACCGCGCGGAAGCCTTACCTTTGGAAGGGTTGGCGCGTGTGGATGGGACTCCACGAGTTAAACTCGCTTCCACGGTTTGGTGAATTCAACAAACTCGGATGTACCCTTTGTTGCCATGAGCGTTCGATTGGGTAGATGGAGCATGAATTCCCAGAGGGTTATGGACATATGTATAACACATACGGGTTCAGAAAAGAGGGAAAAACTCAATCAGGAAGTAAAACCAAGCAAACAGTACTAGAGCTTGTCGGAACAAGAAGGTAGATTTTTGGCTCGGTATTGGAAGAACTCGGCACGAGACTACAATTCCCGTCTCCAGACTATGACTCTATCGCCAGACGACTGTGGTTGTCTCAAGGTGATAGAGCCATCACATTGCGATGGCACTGTTTTCTCAGCGCCAGTTCCTACATGCCTCAGCAGCTTTCTATTTTTGAATATTCTAGTTTTTCGCAGCGTTATTTCGATTTTAGTTGTGAAAGATATTTCCCTAATTTCCTACGTGTAAAAATCCTATGTTTTTAACGCATTACGTATGGTCTTTCCAATGCGGACCTTTTTAGCTTATGCCAATAGTGTTAATCAAAATTATGCACATGAAATACTTAAAACTTTTCGAGTCTCATCCACTCATTCTAAATTATTGCTAAAATAAATTTTAGGAATTAAATAGAAATCCTCCCGGGTGGAGTCGCCAAAAAACTGTAGTGAATATTTCAAGCATCCCACACTTGAGCCCCACTGTGATCAAACACATAAGCATGGTGGCGTCCAAAGGGAAGGAAGCTAGAGTAAAAGAGTCGCTAACAAGTTTTAGGAACTTGTAAACCGTTCACAGGGTGAAGGTTACACCCCTTCACAATCCATGAGATCGCTAACTCTATAGTGGTCTGGAACCATGACATGATATTCGGGGATGAAGGTAAAAGTCCAACCTAAAAGTGATTGAACCTGTCCTAATAATAGGCCTCTACTTTATTCTTCTCACATTCATGTGCGCTTTCTGACCTAAACCTGTTTAATCTATGTTGGTTGAATATTAATGCACAAACAAATCTATTATTGGCGATCACTTGAATTATAATGATATTAGCTTAAAAAAGATTATTAATTATCTTATTAAGCGTGATTAAAATTACAAATTCCCTTTAATTCTGCCAGAGAGGGCGTGATCAAGAAATAATAATACTAATATGTCAAGCCACATAATAATAATAATTATCATCATAAATAACCATGTTAACAATAAAGCATAATATTAATAGCAAGATCCTAGGCATGATACTATCAAGATTAATAACAAACCCTAGCATGTCACTAAACATTAAAGATCAAAACCTTAGCCCTAACATGATACTAACAATATAGAAGAAAAGAATAGGAAGCATCCCATAGAAACATACATGATATTAAAAATTTTAGTTATTACCCTAAACGTGATACTAGGAATCATAAAGACATCCTAACATGATACTAGGAATTAAAAAAATGAAAGAATGATTTCTATATCAAAATAATAACAATTAAATTACTTACTTGGATTCCTCGTATCTCTTTCTAATAACAAAATACATGCGTTAGTGACTTTAAGGAAAATAATAAGAAATAAATTTAATCAAAGAATTGAATAAAGATTTGGGACCAAACCCTCATAAATTATCAACCTTCCATATCAAGGGAGAGACAACTTTGAACTTGTCTAGGTGTATCTAGAACTTCAAAATGTGTAATTTTATAAAAGGGGAAAAGTTTAGAAAAAGAATAGAGAGAAAATACGCTTCTATCTTTTATAGAGAGAAAGAATAGAATTAGATGATTGTGAATGAATAAAAACAAGGAAATACGACCCTATTTATAGAGAAAATAGTCCGGAAACGATAGAAAAGAAATAGAATTCGAATCGGAATAAAATTAGCCTCTGTCACACAGCCGTCGCACGCGACATAACTGTCGTTCGGCGTTGGGACAGTTTTTTGCGAATTTTGTTTTTATCATATCTTTTGATCTAGAAGTCTAAGTTTTTATCGTATCTTTTGATCTAGAAGTCTAAATAAGTCATATAATATGTCGTTGGAAAGATCTTGAAGTCTAATTTCCAACCCAATTCGAATCGGAAGAGTGTTAGTTTTGGATAGAGTTTCGTATTTCTTTCATATCTTTTTCGTTATAGCATGGAATTAATATTATAATATATCATTGGAAATATAATTTCAATATCTATCCAACCACATAAGATTTGGATAAAAATTATGAGTCACAAAAATAATATCTGAACATATTCCATTTCACGCAGAACAAGGACCCTCAAAAAGAGATGTTTTATTCAATTTCGAGTTCTTTGATCATATCTTTTCAAAAAAGGATAATTAAGATCTTTTAGAAACTTATAGAATCTTCAGATAAATCCTAATTATTTTAGGAATGGGATTAAACCTTTGGACCCTACACATGATCATTGGGTCGTAGGTAAAATCCAATTCGGACCCAGTTTAGTATTTTGGCCATAACTTCCTCATTATTCATCGAAATTGGGCTTATAATATATCGTTGGAAAGGTATTTTCAAAATCCATCCAACTACACCATTATTGGGCCCTTATCATGGACCATACTAAATTGGATTGGAATTTTTTCATAAATAGAGTAAGAAAACAAATGTTTTCAAAAACAGAAAGAAGTATTTTTATTAAAACAACCGCATCACAAGACTTTTCACATTTCACCTTGTTCGATAATCAAATGACGTGAAAGATATTCATCACTGGGTTTGGTTTTTGGGGAGACAGAATTAGGTGTCTACACCTACCTTCTTGGCTTCTTTTCTGAGGAAGACGTAGCTGAGGCGCTTGGTGAAGCGCTCCTGGAATTAGGCGGCCTCCCCCTCGTCCACCATTAATTCAAAAGCCTCGAAGAAGTGGCTCTTCATCCTCTTCTCGGTGTTGTTCTCAATGTGAACGATTTTAGTAGGGTTGGGCGGCCGAGGTCCTTTAACTACTTAGTTAAGTCCGAAATGGACCTCTTCAGAGTTTCCACCTCGGCTCTAAGGGCGTCCGCCTCGTCTAGGGCCGTTTGAAGGTTTTGCTGGGCCAAGGTTAGATCTCCATTTAGCTTCTCGGAGGCTTCAAAATCCTCTTTCCATTGTTGGGCGCTTAGGATCGCCGCATCCCTTTATTGCTGAAAGGTCTCCCTTGCCAAGGTCTCTTTTTCAAGAGCCTTGCCCAACTTCACCAGATCTTCAGTTTGCCGCGCCGCTTTGTCGGACAGTGCAGTGATCTGGGTTTCTAAGTGAACCCTTTGGACGGCGGTTGTTCCGGTGATGACGTCCTCTGCCCACCAAACCTCATCCCAAGGGTGCTTCAGCGTAGTGAGCCTGTGAAAGAGTTACACCCGGATAAAGAGAAGTTAGCAAAAACAAACTAAGAAATATGTTCTAAGTATGAAACCTAAAATAAGCAAAAAGTTACGAATGAATACCTCGGCGCTGCAATTGAGCACGGGGCCGAGGAAGCCCTCATTGATTCCCCTTAGCTTGTCACGTTGCTCCTAGGGGACGACCCTGACCATGGCTTCTCTCATGGATTTCCTGTCTACGCCAGCAAGTGACTGACCGGGCAGCTTCATGCTCATCTCCTCCGCGATATAAATGCGTGGCTACAAATGGTGTTAAATAGAGCAAAAAGGGGCTTGCAAAAAAACAAGTAAAAAAGAAATATAAAAACAACTTTGACTAACTGTTTGAGAAGCTGGGAGGAGAGGGAAGGTTGAAGTTAAATGAAGGAGGCGGTAGGGGTTCATCCCCTCCTTCGCTTGAACATCTTGGCTGATCCACAGCCGACTAACTAGTAGCCGTCTGCCAATCAGATTTCTTAATTCTCTGGACAGCCGGAGTCAAGACAAGGTCGGTCGGTTTTGCCGGGGACGACTTAGCACCATTGTTTGCTTTCACGGACATATCATGGACTGACTCATTTGTCGGATCCATGGACTTGGAGACTCCGCTTCGTGACAGCCGGGGTAGCTCTCTTCGGGACTGCTTTTAAGAAGTCCGCGACTTTGTCTTAGCCACCGGGTCGGAAGAGGTCTTAGATGCGACCGTCTTCCTGGTCTTGGACGCCTTGTTGTCCTTAGAAGCAGTGGACGACTGCTTTTGTTTTGACCTTGGAGTAGGAGTGGCTAACTGAAAAAGACAAGTAAAAAGTTAGTGTGAAAGAAGAAATGAAAAATGAATCAGCGTCCGTGCAAAATTAGGAAGGATTCTCTTCCCAACATACCAACACGGACGAAAAGTTTCTGTATGAAGAGGAGAAGGACCTCTTCCCCAACATATCATCTCGGCAAAAAAAAAAAAAAAGAGAAGAAGTTAAAAGTTTTAGGTCAATGGTCCGTACCTCTTAGGTCTGCTCGTACATTTTCTGTCGAGCCTTGTATCGAGCCAAGTTGATCTCGAACATGTCGACCTCTCCTTTCTGCTCCTTGTCCAGCATAGTGTATGCTTCCTCTACATAAGAAAAAAATAAAAAGAGTTAGAAATATTTTCAAAAATTAGCAAGCGAACGATAAAAGTTGCAAAGCCCCACCTTGGTGAATGTTTTGGTATAGGCTACACGCCGATATAAATATCGGGTCTCAAAGCCAGCCGGCCAAAGGAATCCAGTTCTTTGGCACAACCACCATTTTTCGGTCCTCTTCACCTTCTTGACCCTAAAGTAGTCAAGTTGATGTTCCTGGCTAGGGTGGACGGGTGGTTTGTATGGCTTATGATCCCCTTGGCCATGCTGGATCGGCTTAGCGTTAAACTGATTTATCCGCAAGTTGAACTCTACATCCTTTGTCTTGATGCGTTAGAATCGGTTCTTCTACTTTGACACACGGTCCATCACCACAATATAAATCTTAGTGGTGC